AGTTCTCACCCTCCCAGGAAAACTTTTCACATCTCTCCTGCTGGTGAATAAGACTTAAAATGTGCCCCAGCTTCTCTGAAGCAGCCAGTGCACTGCATTCAACTGACTGGAAATCAGTAAAGAAAAATGCTCAAACTAGCCTGAAGACTTCATGTTTTTTGTTTCATTTTCCTCCGCATTCTTGATATCTGTAATTTAGTAGGAGATAGGATTAAATTTTAATCTATTAATAGGCTCATGCATGGCAGAATGTCTTTCAAATTGCTACAAGTTAGACTGAAATCTTCAGAGCTGTATATGCCAGACAAGCATCAAAAGACAAGTGCATAGTTTTCCCGGTATGTTTTTTTTCAGTAGCATGCATACTTGGATTCTTTGTCAATACAGTTTGTGTTAGTAGTCAACTGATTTTAAATATGCCCATGTAGTCTGTGACTACTGTCTACTTCTCTCCTTTTGTTCTTTTCTATGAAGGCACCTCTTCTTCAAAAAGCAATCTATTTACTTTTTTCTACAATAAAATTAGTTGCTATCATGGGAAAACCTGAAACTTCTTTTATCTAGTTCACACACAAAAGCAAACAAACAAACAAACAAAAATAGCCCAGAGGCAAATAACCATTTTTTTTTTTCCTTGGCCAGGACATATGTATTTCTTATTGTAACATGAGAAATTTCTAGTTGAGAATAATTTTTTTTTAATTCTTTATACATTCTGCTACAAATAAATTGCATTAAACTGTTACCTCCCAGAATTGAGTTTGCATGCATGATTATCAGGTTAAACTTTGATTCTACTCAATTTCTTTTCTCCCCATGTTTCTCCATGAATAGATAATGTAATTGATGCTTTGCCCTCAGGCTTCAAATGCCCGACTGCCTTAGCGGAATGCTAGGCATGTTTATATTCAAGTTATTGGCTCTCTTCACCTTGTGGACCTGTAAAATATGTATCAAGGCTAGAACTAACAGAAATACAGCAGCTGGCTATGAGTTAGATGTGCCAGAAAATTGCAGTATTATCCATTCCAATGAAAGTAGCTATGAAAAGTAATCATGTTAACTAAATATGACTAAGTAACAAGATTAGCGTTTAATTAGAAAATTAAAGCAAGTAGAAACCTGTTTATGATTCTGTTGATTTCCTTGCACCATCCCAAATATTGCTTCCATGGGTATTTTTAGATAATGGACTAATATAAAATGTTACTATCTTGGGGAAGAAGTGATAAAACAAGTGAGGTGTAGGGAGAGAAAAAAGCTTTAGTCTCAAGTCAAATTAGCTTATGCCATTAAATTACAGATGCCATTTTCAATTTAAATATAAAGTAATGGAAGCAGAATCATACACTTGGTGCCCCCATGGATTGTCTTTATAGTCCCCCTTCAGCACTGTGGATCCTGGCTCTTGACTAAGCAGGAAGCAGAGTCATGTTCTCCATCGGGAGATGGATATTCCTGCAGACTTTGCCCATGAAGGGCTTTTACTTGTGGGGCACGTCTAACCACTGCAGTGGGCCAGGTTTTTCTGCTACATGCTGGGTAGAGAGGCTGACATTCCTAATAAATAATGTCCTTTCACATATACTTCCCAGAAGGACTAAGATCTACGGTATTAAAACTGGAGACAATGTTAGCAGCTATTTCCTCTTGTAGAAGTCAGATAAAAGATGGCAGGAGAGAGATTTTGAAAGAGAATAGATCACTGGGTAGTACACTAGAATAGTGTACTAATGTGCTAATTTGGAAAAGCACACAGGAAAATCAATGAAAACTATTATCAGCTTCCTGTCACTTTATTTGCAAACTGTTCTGAGAGTGAAAGTTCACAAGATCACTAAATAAACAATCTTAAAGGATAGAGCTGAACAGACAAGATTTAAATGGCAAAGAATACTTTGGCCTTCAGGAACATCTGGAGATCAGGAAAAAGTGGCAGCCTGAGTATAACAGATCTTAAAGTCTCCAACATTTTGAGAACACTGTAACATGTTATTTTCTGATTTTGTAAGCAGCATACAATTTTTCTGAAGAAGAGATTTATTTATTTATTTATTTACTCGGGTTACATTTTTGAAGCACAGTCCATTGGTAATTGCTCCTAGTAAAACCATTTGCATCCTCAAAGAGATTCTAGAAAATCTGGAGGTTAAATCTTACTGTAATATTTATATTCTCATTCTCTCTGTAAAAAAAAGTATGAGAGCATCTCCCACTCTCCCTCTTTTACTAAAAGCAAGAGCAAACACAACACAAGTGGAAACCAAAAGGTGTCTTGAAAAAAAAGTCATCTGAAATTGAGGTGATAACATAAAACAAAAGTTTTACCATATTGTGCTGAACGGGGACATCAAATAAATTCAGTTTCCACTTCTCTGAAGGCTGTTAAATTGTTTTAAGTGTTTAATTCCTGTTTGGAATTAAGTGTCATGCTGCAAAGTGCTCCTTGCTAACACAGCATTTCTGTGGCTCTTACATTTTTGAAAAAAAAAAAAAAAAAAAAAAAAAAAAGGTTTCTAACTGGCAAGAAGAAGGTGCCAAAACAAAACCCAAACACACAAAAAACCCACTTTGTATATCTTTTTCCTACTTTAATTTATATATTGTCAAGTTTTCACTGAAGAAGGCTTGTATTGCAATTGGCTACAATATCTTTTCATCAGGAGTTCCATACTGTTGTGTGCTTGGTTACAGATGGTTACTACTTGAGTTAAAAATCCTGTTCTTCCAGATGGCAGCAGTAGTAGATTATTACCCACAAGGAAATACCAATCACTGAGGGAAAAACACACCCGCCTCTGCATACTTTGTCTGTCCCCACTTTTTTTTTTTTTTTGAGTGCTCATTAGTATGATTTATTAACTATTTTGTTCAGAGGTAAAATTGCAGTAATTGTCCAGAGGAATAGTAAAAATATATGAAGACGACTTTTACTAGAGTTGTGGGAATAAGTCAATACAACTTTTGCTTGGTAAACATTGGGAAAGAAGTAGATGGAAAAAAATGTTAGTAGGTAAAAGTCTGACATTTTCAAACTTTAGTTGGTAAGAAAAACATTCTATCCACAGCTTAAATACATCTAGTCCTTTAAACCCCTGCACAGTCCTTTCAAAAAAAGAGTACATCATATTCATAAAACTGAAAGAACATAAGCCTAGGGATGCAAACTATTACACAAGATAAACTTTACCCAGAATGTTTGTGTCCCCTCTGATCTGTATCGCCTGAATAAGCAGAGACGTAGTCAGAACATCTGAGTTCAACAGTGTTTTCAGAGTCTGTGCTACATATGGTACAAAAGCATGGAATGCGTAATGGTTGTGGAATAAGATTTTTTGAAAATTATTCGACATGAAAGTAGCTCATGCATTTTTTATTTCATTTTTCTTTTCTTCTCTTTAAAATGTAATGGAGCAAAGTATGTAATATTGGAAGCTTCTGCTATAAAGTCATCGAGTTTCACACTGTGAGGATCTTGCAGAAGAAGGAGATACTTGGAAATAATGCATCCTTCAACATGCATGAATGGGACTCAAATGGCTGTGAATGCAGTTCTTTGATTGCACAGTGAAATGTAATATAAGTCAACAACTATGCAGTTATTTAAAACGGAAAAAAAAGTTTTATTACAAATGAAGATAGCTCTGTTAGGCTGCATACTGGAATAGTGCATCTGATTTTGAGCTCTCCTGCAGAGGAAAGACATTGAGAAACTGGAGGGAATGGTCCAGACTGGAGAAGGTGCCCTGTGAGGAGAGACTGGGGGAACTGGGCATGTTCAGCCTGGAGTAGAATCCACAGGACAGTTGTTGAGGAGATGGAACCAGGCTCTTCATGATGGTGTGAGGTGGGAGAACAAGAAACAGCAGTCGTAAACTAAAATGTTAGGGGGAGGAGTAGACTAGATATAAGGAAAAAAAAAAAACACACACACACACATGGATAATAATTTATTCCTGGAATAGGTTGCCCATGAAGGTCGTGCACTCTGTATCCCTGCAGATTTTCAAGATTATGCTGGAGAGAGCCCTGAGCAACCTGGTCTGGATTTAGCATTGACCCAGATTTGAGTGGGAGGCTGGACTACAGGCCTCCTGATACCTCTCCCAGCCTCAATTATTCAGTTGATTCTGTGTTTCTATAATGATGTCTACAAAAATCAGTCAAAATATTCTGTTGAGAATGTTTATGGGTGGTATGTATTCAGATGTACAAAGTACAGAACTGATGCACAAGATTAGCATATTTTAAAAGTTAAGAATTTTTAATTTGGAATGGGAGGGGCAGCTACATTTTGGCATTATCACTTGTAATTCTTATAATCTCCCTTAATGAGAAGAGAGAAAACAGAATGCAACATAACTTACGTACTTACAACTATATTATCAGTTATGCTTCCAATTAAAGTGGAATCTTAGAACACAACAATCCTGTATGATTAATAGGCTACCTAAAATTTGTTCCTGTGCCCTTGCACATCAATAATAATTCTTTCAAAAAATCTGAGATTTCCTCAGGTACACAAACAATTAATTGTGGTATATGTGTGATAATGAAATACTTAGAGAAGATGTATTTTAAATTAAACAGCTTCCATGGTTTCCCTGGATAGCTGAACAATCTTTCTGAGGACCTTCAAGAGAGAAGTTGTGAAGGACAGGGAGGGAGAGGCTACTTGGATAAAGCAGAAGTATGAAATAGTAGAGGAGCAGAAGCCTGGAGGAGGATAGGCAGCAAAGTCTGAGTGTAAGCAAAGTGTAAAAAAAAGAGTAAGAAAGACAGCACAGATGTAGTAAGACACTGGGGGTTGCTGATTTTTGTTTCTGTAAAATGAACAACTTTTCTGTGGTTAAAACAAGCTGCCTTCCCCCCTCATCATCATCCTTGAACAGTGATGACTGAGCACAGAGATGTTTGCCAGGGACAAGACAGTGTTATCGTTATTATACTGAAATGGTTTTCACAGCCCTGGCAAAATAACTCAGTTATCATTTTCTTACCTGCTTCGTTGGTCCTGATCACTCGGGATGGTGCGCTTGGATCACCAGTGCCAATTTTGTTAGTTGCAACAACTCTAAACTCGTACTCCACCCATGGGTTGAGTTCGACGGCCATGGCAGATTCCATATCACCACTTATGACATCTGGAACTGCAGTGGTGAGACATATGTGCAGTCATTCAGCAGTCTGAAGCTCTCATGCAGTGTCTCAATGGCAAGTGGGCATAAAGGCCATTAGAAATGACAGAGGTCAAGAAAGCAGCACATCAGAAATCACTACTAGGTTTTTGGCAATCTGCTACTCCCGAAAAGACACAGATTGAAGGACGTAAGGGAGTTTGTCTACCCACAGATGCATTAAGGTAGGTGTCTTTGAATTGCTCTTACAGAGCTGTTACTAAACAATATGAGAAAGGAATGAAGGAAAAAAAAAAAGTGGTTTTAATTTATCATCGTTATCTTGACAGCATCTGTTTTTGCAGTTGCCAGTGGTTATTATTGTCAAAAACTGGGAATTCTGAACTCAGTCTACTCATGCTATGTGCAAGTTTTTCTCACCTGTTTTCACAGTCTGCCAGCCAAGTGAAAATGGACTGCGTGCTTGCAGGTTGTGGAGGGAGATGGGGCTATGATTGTCTGCACCAGGACTCCAGGAGAGGGTTGCTGTGGTGTCTGTGATTTCCTCCACTATCACAACTCCTGGGGGACCCGGAGGACCTAGAAATAAAGTAGAAGAGTCAAAGGGAGAGCACCATCATCAGGATTTATTAGCAGGAATATAGGACGCATATATTCTGTAGGAAACCAAAGGAGTTCAGCATTCACAAAACACAGGGTTTAAAATGCACACTAGTAAATCATTGAGATAGCTCATTTCCATAATTTCTGGTGGTAAATTGTGATTGTCTCTATTCTTTAATGTAATGTAGGTGAGAAGCAATTACCTTGTCAGAGTGATAGTGGAAAAAATAGAAATAAAAGCATTTAAAATCCAGTTTTACTGTAATTATTCTGAACGTAAAATTAAAGAACAATATGTTCAAGTTTAGGATGCATCCAAGGGTAGACTGACCAAGCACTGACCAAGCAGGAGACTGACATCTTCTGTCTATGTGCAACTTGGCAGTAGAGGAATAATGACCAAGCTGAAGCAAGGGAGTACGCATTTCTTGAAAAACAATAATATGGATAATAACCAAAGTCAATAGTAATAATAATACTTGGATTACCTGTTAGACTGAAAACTATTTAAAAAAAAGTTTTGAAAGCTGATCTTTAAACAACTCTTCGCATGAAAATAGAGGTATTATTTATTCTACTTATCTGTACAAATGAATATATAGGAATTAGGATTTGTATAAAGCACATGATTGATTCAGTAAGTCAGGTGTATGGAAAATTTGGTTATTTTTATTAGTATTATTATTCAGTAAGTCAGGTGTATGGAAACAAGCATGAATTTGTAATGCAAAATATACATATAACTCCTTTCTCTTCTTTAATTCTTAAATATTATTAGTGTGTGAGATCATTGTCAAAATGCAATTGACAAACTGGATTGCAGCTAAAGGTTCCTTGGTTTAGGATACTCTTCAGCTGGTGTTGGGACCAGATGTTCATGGGAAGATGTACATCTCTATCACCTGCAAATGTACAGTAAAAGTCCTGTTGTTGTTTCTTATACTTAAATATAAGTTAAATCCTGAGGGCAAGACTTCTATGAAATATGAATATCATTAACAATTAGTTATATAATTATGACAAATCTCAATATTCTTGATACCTAAACTCCTCTTCATTCTTTTGCAGCCTCCTGCTGCTGAAAGCTGAAGTTCTGCTTCTGCACATGCAGATGAAAGCCTGAGAAATCTGAATCAAAAAAGCACCATTGGCCATTTTCACCCAAAACAAAACTGCAGGAAAGGTGACAATCCAGACAACACTGTTAAAAGAAAGCAATTGCTGCTAAGTCTTTTGGGGAGCACTGTCCATCTGTATGGACTTTTTGTTGTCTTTCCCTCAGCATGCTTCATGGAGCAGATCCTTTGGCTACCTGCATCCCTTTTCACTCTGTGAGTGCCATGAGCTGGACTTGCTGACTTATTGGACCTCAGCACTTGCAGATCTGGGAGGTCAGATCTGGAGCCTCCATCTGAAGTGGCACCTGTAGCCAGGATTTCTGTATTATTAAGCTTAACTTTTCTTTTCTTTTCTTTTCTTTTTTTTTTTTTTAATACTGTTTCATATAACTAAATCTGTTGTTGGATAATTTCCTTAGTCTATGAGTTGAAAAAAGGTTTGTGTGAATATCATAGGTTAAAAAAAAAAAACACCTAGTAGCTGAAATATTTTAGCTGCTGGGCTTCTTTGTGATGTTTGCAGGTACAGGCAGCTTTATATTTCCCATGATATTCCTTAAACAAAATTATGTCTACATGAACTATGGCAAAAATATATTTAGAGTTTTGTAATAGTTCATTTCTATAGCTTCTTAGTGAAAGCGACATTGTATCCTTCACATGTAATTAAGGTATTCACTTTCTCCTGCTTGCTTGATAAAATCTACAAGCATAAATTGACATTAAATCCTGGAAAGATAGGATATCTAGGTATAAAAACAGCAATAGTAGTAACAGACTTATGATTGCTTTGTTTCATAGAAATTTTGAAGCTTAATACTATGGACATATGAAAGGAGAACATTGTCTCCACAGTACACTGAAATAATCCCTGCTGGAATCCTATGTACTGGGTTGGATCATGAGAAGAACGAAACTGCTCCCAAAGATGGGGTAGTCTCCTCTTCCCTTGCTCTGTGTACTTAGCAAAAGGACCCTGCTCCTTATTAATGTCTTTCATCTTTAATTATAAATGATGCTGAAATAAGATGGTGCCATGGCCTTGGACACCCTGTGGCTCTTGGTCTTTCGGAGTTCCACCTGCATTTGCAGTTAAGTGGTCTTGTATTTCTTCCTGAGAGAAAACACAGCAAAAGGATGATCCGAAGAATCCCTTGTGCCCTGCGTTCCTCTTTTCCTGTTGTATATTTGCTGCTCTGTGATGGGATGAGTTCGGCCCTCATTTCAGAATAGCAAGTCCAGCCAGGGGCGAATTTAATAAAACAGGACAATCTTTGATCCCCATTATCTATTGTTTCAGGCTATCTGCAGATGTAGGAAATTCCAGTGAAATTCTTATTTGAAGCCATGAGGGAAAGTTTAAAGGAAAGCTGGAATCCTGTTATAATCATATGTTTTCACTGACTTGCAGCCATAGGCTCAGTATTATATCATGGTCCCAAGCGTAAACAACATTAAAGGAAAATATTTTAGCACTTCTCCTCTTCGACAATATTTCTCCCACGCACACAGAATATTATTAAAGAGTTTCTACCCACTGTATTAGGGAAACGAGAACAAGCTTCTGCTTATACAAAAATATGTGAAAATACAGTTTTGCAGATGTCTTCTCTTAAATTCTCAATATATTTTGTTGTCAGAGTTCTCTCATGTTTTTTAAACCTTTTAAATGCATTCCTAGTCATGACAATGTGCCATTATGCTTTCTGTTATGTATGCTCTTACACAGTCTGCAGGAGGACTGCTAAAAAGCATTTCCATTTCCAACAGCAGGCAGTCTTGAAAATGGATTAATAAAGGACAAAAGCCTCAGTGATGACAAATGTATAACAGTTAGCCAGGACCTTAGTATTATGCAGATGTCACTCATTTTTGTAGAAATCTCATTAAATTTTATGCTTGGTTGTAATCATTCATAGTGTCAGCCGGATGGCTAATGCAGAGAATCTTTTTTCCCAAGGGTTGTGTTATTGTTCAGGATGTCTAAAACAATTTTTTATTTGAGAATAGCCAATTCAGGAAAAAATGCATAGTCTGCTCAAATGCTGCTCTGGAAACTACACAGAAAATGACTGGTCATAAACGCACTACGGTGCAGTCGACCTTCACAGAGAAGACATTTGGGGCTACAATAGGCTCTTACACAGCTCTAGGAACACTGGAAACCCAGCATAAAGAATATTAGTCAGCTATCTTCTTTCAGAGCAATTCCACAGATTGATACTTCATTTCAGGACATGCGTGACTGCATTTTGGCAAACTTGTTTTATGTGTCTTTTTATTGTTGGAATGATCATCCTGAGAGGTCCTCTAGATTACTTTCCATGATACAATGTTAATGTGAGAGCTCTTGAAAGACTATTACCAATAATAGCCTCAGTCATTCAGTGAGGCAGTGCCCTTTCCTGTGAATCCCAAAATGTGCACTGATTTACTCCACTCCAGTCTGACCGGGATAATTCTTACTTTTACCAAATCACTAAGAGCACAATATGTAGCACTTACTTACAAACACAGAATTCTGGGCCTGAAAATTTTGCTTTCTGAGTGAGAAGGTACATTGGCTTACTGAAAGCAAAGTGTGGAGAGGAAGGACACAGACTTTCTAAGAACTGCAATGCACTTCCAGAAAGGATCAGAAAGAAAAGAGTGTTAGGTAGAAAAGTGACAAAAGACAATTTACCAGAGCAATGTGAGCAAAAGGTGTCAGTCTGAAAGAAGATGAAAGGTAAGGAAAAGGAGGAAAAGACAGAGAGAGTAACTACAGAATAATGGTGAAGGAGCTAGAGAAAACCCAAGTGTGGTTCTTGTAGTGCGAAGTCCTTTTATTCTCCCCAGCTGTGGCAGATGAAAAAGTGTTTGCATGTGGTGGGGAAGAAGAAGTATGGTGAGACACTGTGGTGCACAGTAAATGCAATGGGCTCTGTGGCTTTGGCTGATACATACTCCGTCCCATTCCCTCCAGAATGGTGTACGCAGTTGTTAAGTGCCTTGTAGGGTGGAGAGGTTACAGCAGGACAGATGGAAGACTCATTTCAGGATGAGGATCAGCAAAAATCCCTGGTGAACAGACTTTTGGTCATACACATGCCATTCTGTGATCCTCTACTGTTTTCCCTGCCTTGTCCCAACCAAAAAGTAGCAGATATGGGCAAGATGGTTGAGGCTTATGAGCCCATATGCCAGAGTGCAGCTCAGACACGCTGAGATGGGTCATTTGTGTTGTGACATTTGTGACAACATAGACGTATGAGCAGTGCAGGGTACGTGAACTGCCATCCCTCCTCAGGTGAAAAAGCACCTGTGAATCCCACTGGGAATGACATAACTAGCTGTCACTCTGCCAAAGGTGTCCTAACTTAGTTAAATTGGAGTATGTAACATGCCCCTTTCATAGGAGTTTCCTGTTGACTGTGGTTAGTCTGTTCAGCAGTGCTTTGCTAACTGGCTACCTCAGATGCGAACTGTGCTGCCTCTGACATCCTGTAATGCCAGCCCAGGCAGCTCTGCTCACAGAACAGGATGGGGCTCTTTCAGGCACTGAGTTCATGAACATCAGCACATCTGATCTGTACTTTTATACCTGTTCTAAGCCCTTCCTGACTGAAGTTTTAAGTAACTTCACTTTTGCAAAGAAGTAGCCTAGAGAGAACAAAGAATCTTTTTAAAACTTATATGAACAAAGGATCTTTTTACAACTCTCATGAATCTCCTTTTACAGCATCTGAGATATTACAACAAAGGTCTTGTTACAAGTTTGGACTCCTAGAAGTATTTTAGTCTACCATCTCTGGGTTAGTGCACTTATGTTTCAGCTATGCTAATATACTATACTCCAATCTTGTATTCAGCTACTAA